GTTCATACTTACATACATAAATAAACACACTAAATACTTTTTAAAAATAAGCAGCAGTAGGGGACAAATCTGTCTTGTTCCTGATGTTAGTGGGAAATTTTCTAGCTCCTCACCAAACACAGGGCTAGCTGAAACCTTTTGGTAGACATTTTCAGGCTGAAGAGGTTTGCCCTCTATTCCAGTTAGCTGGGAGTAGGACCATGTGATTTTTCTCCCTAAGGTTGTCTGTGTGAATTTTGGATGGTGGAGCAGCCTTACATACCAGGGATAATTTCCACTAGGTCACAATATATAATTTTTTTTGCACATTGCTTGACTTTATTTCCTAATGTTTGTACTGACATCTTTGCATGTATTTTCATGACAGATATTAGGCTATAGTGCTTTCTATAATGTCTTTGTTGATTTGGGTGTTAGGGCAACACTGGCCTCATAGACCAAGCTAGGGAATTAACACCTCTATTTCCATTTTCTGAAAAAGATTGTAGAGAATTGACACGTGCTCCTTACATGTTTGGTAAAATTCACCACTGAACCCATCTGGGCCTGATTCTTACTGTTTGGTAAGGTTAATCATTCAAAGTCTTTAACAGATGAAGGCCAACTCAGATTGTGCACTTTTTATTTGAGTTTTTACAGATTTTGCTTTCAAGAAATTGGTACAGAGGCTGGGGAGATTGCTCAATGGGCAAGAGTGCTTGTTCTGGAAGGACAAGGACCTGAATTCAAATCCCCGGCAGGAATCCCAGCATGGGGGAGGTGGGTAAAGATAAGTAGTAGTACTGTGATTGCAGGTGTGCACCGCAACACCGATTTGTTCAAAGTAGACTTCTGCTAACCTCTTGATGCCCTTGGTGTCTGTGGTAACAGCTATATCTTCCTGAGGTCTTTGTGAGTAGGCCAACTTTTGACTTTGTTTTTTAATTAGTTGGACTAAAGACATCCATTTTAATGGCCTTTCAGAACTATCATTTGCTGGGACTTTATTAATTTCCTATTTTCGGTTTCATTGATATTTGCTGGAATTTCTTTCTTTTCTTCTGCTTCCTTTGAGTTTAGTGGTTCTTTTCACTCTCATAAGCTAGAAGCTTTGGGTATCGATTTTTAATCTTTCTTCTTTCCTTCTTTTCTGACACAGGCACTCAGCGCTCCATATTTCTCTCAACACTGCTTTCACTACGTTTAAATTTTTTAAGCTTTATTTTCATTTGCCTCAAAATACTTTTTAAGGCCAGATGTGGTAGTGCATAGCAAGTTCTATGCGTCAATTCCAGACCAGCCAGTACTATATGGTGAGACCCTGTCTCAAAAAGAAAACAACAAAAAAGAAGATTTTAAAGTATCCTTTGAGCTTCCTCTTTGAATCGTAAATTACTACAAATGTGTTATGTCGTGATCTCCAAATGTTTGGGGATTTTCCAGACGTCAGTGATTCTTTTTTTTTTTTTTTTTTGGTTTCCTTTCTTTTCTTTTTTTTGAGACAGGGTCTCTTGTAGCTGAAACCTGGACCCGAGCTCTCTATGCAGCAAAAGATGACCTTGCACTTTTTAAAAAATATTTTTAAAAATTTTATGTGTATGAGTGTATTGCCTGCATGTATATAAGTGCACCTGTGCAGTGCAATGCCAGTGGTGGTCAGAAGAGGGTATCAGATTCCCCTGGAACTGCAGTTACAGACAGCTGTTAGCCACCATGTGTGTACTGGGAATCAAATCTAAGTTCTCTCCAAGAGCTGTCAGCACTCTTAATGGCTGAACCATCTCTCCGGCCTCCACCTTGCACTTCTGATCCTTCTCCCTCTACCTCCAAAGTTCTGGGATTCTAGGCATGTGCCACCACATCCATCAACTAGCCTTTGGTGATTCTTTTTTAGTTTAATTTTGTTGTGGCCTGAGAAAATGGCTTCTATTTTTAAGTGTATTAAGGTGTGTTTACAGTCAAGAATGTGGTTTATCTTAGTGTATGCTCTATGCATCTTGGAGAAGAGTGCATATACTACTGTTGTTGGATGAAACTGTTTATAGATATCAATCATGTCTGGTTGATTTGTGGAGCTACTGACTTCAGCTATCTCCTTCATAATTTTCTACCAAATCCATCCGTCCATTTCTGACAGAGGAGTATTCAAGTGTCTGTTGCCTCCTTCTCCCTGAACTTTTATCTATTTGTTCACATATATAAATGGATATATATGCTCTACTGTTTTGCAGTATACATAAGGAATATTACAACTCCTTGAAAAATTTACCTTGCCATCATATGCAATGTTCTTCTTTACTCCTCATTATTTTCCTTGTCCTAAAGCCTGATCTGTCTAAAGTAGATAGAGCTATTCTAGCTTTCCTTGATGACTATTAACACAGGTTTCTATGCCTATTCACTTTTTTTCAAAAAAATATTTTATTTGCTATTCTTATTTTATGTGTTTCAGTGTATCGCCTGAATGTATGTAGAAGCACCCGTGTTGTGCAATGCCCACAGAGGTCAGAAGAGGGCATCAGATCCCCTGAAAATGGAGTTGCTGGGATTCGAACCCAGGTCCTCTGCAAGAGCAGTCAGTGCTCTTAACTGCTGAGCCATCTCTCTAATTCCCTATTCAATTTTAATCTGTATAATTCTTTGTTGACTTATTATGAATGAGTTACTACTTGAATTAGTAAATATTTCATTTACTCCCAGTATGTCCATGAACTTTAAATCTGAAGGGAACATTGTATGTGTGATTGTATGGGAACATTATAACATTAGACACAAAATCATCTGGCAATCTCCCTGGCATTTTAGGGGAAAAGAATGTTGATAGAAATTCAAGTAGCAGAAGGGGGCAGTAAAACGCAACAGAAGGCTTTGGGAGGTGTTAATATTCTTCCTTAGTTTCCTTTCATTCAGAGAGACTCAAAAAATTTCAGAGACTAAAAAATTATCTTTTTGTACAAAAGACACATATGTACAAAAATATATACTGAAACACTAGATTTCTACACATTTAGTAACTATATTTTCACATAATCTCAATCTTATTAAGGTGCACCATTGTCATTATACCTTTCCACGTTAAAAAGTTTTAACTATCTTAATTTGGTTTTAGACACTTAATATCCCTTTGTAACCAGCATTCAAAATATACCTATATATTTTGTTTTAGCATCCCAGACTTCTCAAAATTAATAAATTACTTAATAATTTTCACTTATGCCCTTATTTGAACTTCCTTTTGAAACTGCCCTTATCCCTAAAGTCTAAATTTGTCCTTGAGTTCTTGCCTGACTTAGTTGATGTGTGGAGCTCTCTTTTTCCTATGTTTGAAGTTACAGATTAAATTAAGTAATTGAGTCACATAGATGGTTTTATTTGAATTTCCAATATGAGATGTAGTTCCATTTCTTGAAATTTCAACTAGTCTGAATGTGATTATTCTCTATGCCCTGTTTTTACCTCACTTTTGAATTCATAATCTCTTTTCAAATAAGACCATACTTCTCCACACAGTAGGTACACATCTAATATCTGAAGAAAATGAAGAGGGTTTCAAAATCAACTCAAGATTACATTATTAGATTTTCTTACAGTGTCAGAATTAACCTATGGACTTTTACATGACACCTAACTGAAGTTAGAATTAGTAGCTCTAGTAAACTTAAAATCTGAGTACAGGCAACCTACTCATTTAAAATGAACCAAAACTGGAATTATTAAAAGGACTTATTAACAAATATTTTATGGTCCTTGTTGAAATTTCACATAGGTAGTGCAATGGGAGGAGTGCCACAAATACAATGATTAAACATGACTAGAGTCCAAGTTCTGGGTGAGATAGAATTTTAGTCACCATGTCTCATGTCTAATCAAGTGAGCACACACATGAAATGAACAGTTAAAAAAAATTCCATGAGTATTTATTTTTTTTCTGCAAGACTTCCGCATATTGGAGTATCTGGAATAGTTTTGTGTTGATTTTTGTGGGGGTTTTGGTGGGGAGGATCATTGTTTTACTCCCCCCACCACCGCCCAAACCATCCTCTTGACTTAACTTCCCTCCTGATGTAGTTTAATTTCAGATTTTATGCCCTCTTTTTCTGCATTCATGAATATTTAAAATGTAGAGCTTAACTTAGTTTTCTTTTCATTCTCCTCGTCACTGGTGTTTGTTTTTGCTTCTTCATTTTTAATATTCCATCCTCACGCACCCCTCTCTGGCCACCACCAAAACCTGATATTAAACGGAGGATTACATTCAAGACTGTCAAAATCACCTTTCTATCCAAGTAATTTCTCATCAAACTATGTCCCAGAATGAGGCGAATATTTTTTTTAGGTTAGCTGTCGAAAAGTGACTGCGATGTTGTGTTTTGATTGGTTGCCATAACTCACTATCTTGAAAACATGAGCAGAAAACATAGAACTTAAAAACCAATACCTTTTATTGATATGTCCCGTTGACCAAAATGGTGAAAGCTAATGTAGCTGGAGGAGGGAAAATACCTTAAAGCGACGCCTGGGGCACTGGGCCAGCATTCCAGTGAAGTGGATCTCTGCTTCAGTCCCCTAGGGACACGGCGGTCTGTGAGCCTTCACCCTTTCCCATCTAAGAAGCAGGGCCCCGGGTGGTGGCTGGAAACCATAATAGATATGGACCCCGAGGACTGTTCTCAAATTTCATTACCGACTTAAATTGGAGAGAAATTGTGCGTGTGCGCGCTCCGTGCTCCTGTGGTCATGACCAAGACTTCTGGGCCGGGCGGACAGATGGCTGGGGGCGGCGCGGGGATTCCCTGGGCCGGGGACCTGGGGCGGGGTTCTGGGAAGGAAAGCTGTCGCCTCCCGGTGCTTCTCAGTCCCCATCTGGAGCAGTCTCCGCGAGCCAGCAGGGGACCCCAGCAGAGCCAACCGGAACGTGGGGACCCAGCACGGCCGGGCTGAGAAAGGGATGCCAGAGGCCAGGGACCACCCGGGGAAGCCTGGGGCAACTTCCCGGCTTCCCTCCCGAGTTTCCCATTTGCGTGGTTAAGTCCTGCCCCCAACCGGCCTTGCGCAAAACTTGGGGCCGGGGCGGGGGGACTGGGGGACGGGACAGGATGTCACGTGGGCTGCTTTTCAGGCATAAAAGTATGGTTCTCCAAGGTAGCATCCAGTTGTCAAACTGCTCTCTGGAAGCTTCAGGACCCCTCCAGGAAGAAACTCAGCGCGGAGCCCCGCCAGCCACGCTACCACCCACCGCCGCCACCGCTGCAGCCAACGCCGCGATGCTCCTCCGCGCCCTGCTGCTCTGCGCTACGGTGGCGCTCAGCCACGCAGGTGAGTCGCCCTGTGCCCAGCTCCCGGCTGCGTCTACCCGACCTAGCTGCCTGTCCTGCACTCCAGTGCTCTGAGAGGGGCAGCCTGGACCGCTTGAGTCCTGAGGATGGCCTGGTTTTGCTACTAACTCTACTGTCATGGACCGGTTACTTAACCAGTCTTATCTACTAAAAACTAATAGCCATACTAATTTGCAGGTCATTATAAGACAGGATCTGATCAATATATGTGAAGTGTATGTGTATGGATCCACTGTTATTAGAGTAATTGTTAAAATACCCGTTAGTCCTTTCATGCCTCAGGAAAGCCAGATCACAATATTTAAAGATAAGTAAAATACGATTGAAAGTAAATTATTTGACTTTAATTCCCCCTCCCCCAAATTTTGATAAATGTATTAGATCAGATCCATTTTAAATTTGAAAGTTCTACCTAATTCTAATTTGAACACCCAAGAAGTTACAGTGAAAATGCTAATGTGATCTGTGAGCTTGTAACCAATGTTAATTACTGTTGCTTAGAAAAGGAAATTGATATTTCTATATTACAATCATTTGGTGAGATTGACTTTATTTCAAAGTTTCCTTGTGACTGTGTATTTCTTGAACTTATTGTAAAGTTTGCCTAGAGTTAGTAAAACAATTAAATCCTTAAGTCAAAATGAAGAGTGACTTACAGGCTATTTTATTTCTATCATAGCAAATCCTTGCTGTTCCAACCCATGTCAAAACCGAGGTGAATGTATGAGCGTAGGATTTGACCAGTATAAGTGTGATTGTACACGGACAGGATTCTATGGAGAAAATTGTACAACCCGTAAGTTTTTTATCGGGTTTCATCTTTGTGATGGGGCCACATACAGTAACCATCATTTTGTAGATTTGTGTCTTAATGTGAACCTGCTAATTTCTCCCTCCTCCTTTCTTTCTTTCCACAGCTGAGTTTCTGACAAGAATAAAATTACTGCTGAAGCCCACCCCAAACACAGTGCATTACATATTGACCCACTTCAAGGGAGTCTGGAACATTGTGAATAACATTCCCTTCCTGAGAAATTCAATCATGAAATATGTGCTGACATGTAAGTACAAACCTCTCTTTCCAGTTTCCACCAAGAAAAATATGCATTAGAAAATGGTACTTTGCTAAACCTAATGCAAAGAAATATTCTCCACTTTTTCAAAATAGCTTTACATATGCCTTTCAATTCTCCTTTTCTGAAAGGTCAAAAATATTGACAGGTAGTCTATCTGGTAGACTGGATCCTACTTAGGCCTCATATACTTCTAACCCTCATTCTTTTGGAGGAAGTGTGGTTCACTTGTTTATTGATGCCCATGACCCACAGAATTGTTCTAAGCATGCAGCACCCATTAAAACAAGTGGTTGATTTAGATTTAGGTCAGCAAGAAAATAACTTTCTATAGTTCTAAGTAAGGGCCATGCCAGGTGATTTCTCGGCTTCCTGAGCAGGGAGTGGGCGGAGTCTGAAAAATCAAGTGTACTGGAGCATAATGTTCTGTTCTGTATTAAGCTTTATTAATGATGCATTTTCAATGGCCGCTACATGTTTTGTTTTTTTGTTTATTTGTTTGTTTTTGAGACTATCTCATTAAATAGCCCTATAGACCAAGCTGGCCTTGAACTCAGCTGTCTGCCTCTGCTTCTCAAGTGCTGAGATTCAAAGAGAATGCAACCATGCCCAGCCTAGCAGTTACACTTTAAAGTGTAGTTGTTTTAAAGCAGAGTATTTTTGTTGGGATGGGCCTAATCTCAGTATTCTCTACAATGAAAATTAACATTCATTTGTTTTGCATATGAAGCCCAATAAAATGTTTTTTTCCCCTTTAAATTTTCAGCCAGATCACATTTGATTGACAGTCCACCAACTTATAATGTGCATTATGGCTACAAAAACTGGGAAGCCTTCTCTAACCTCTCCTACTACACCAGAGCCCTTCCTCCTGTAGCAGATGACTGTCCAACTCCCATGGGTGTGAAAGGTGAGTGAAAAGAAATGGTTGGTTCAATATGTAGTAATTCCAGTGAGGATGGGTAGCTACCTAGAAATTTGACCTTAAATTCTCATTTAGTTTTTAAAACAGGAGTGCTTTTGCCTATATTATAGATCCACAGAGACTTCTTAAAATGCAAATCCATTCCATTAAAGTGAATGTCCATTTGATAGACTTTCCTAATGTTAAATATGATAAATTGAATTGATATTAGTTAAAATTGATAAAACTATTTAATAAATTATGCCCCCAATGTCTTAGAAGTTTCATTTGTAGTCTGGGTGAGGTGGCTCATGCTTGTAATCTCAGCAATAGGGAGGCTGCAGCAGGATGATCACTGTAAATTCAAGACCAGCCAGGACTAGGTAATAGTTTTAGGCCAGCCCAGGCTTCAAAAGTGAGACTGTGCCTCAAAACTAAACACAATCAAACAAAGCATTTTTTTTTATCTTATGATCCTCTTCACAACTATAAGTGGCAAATGTCTTCATAAATTTGACAGTATCTGCTTGAATGAATATATGCATGGGTTTTGACTCAGAGTTCTCATTTTATAGGAAAGAAGGAACTTCCTGATTCAAAAGAAGTTCTGCAAAAAGTTCTTTTAAGAAGAAAGTTCATCCCCGATCCCCAAGGCACAAACATGATGTTCGCATTCTTTGCCCAGCATTTCACGCATCAGTTTTTTAAGACAGACCAGAAACGAGGTCCTGCCTTCACCCGGGGACTGGGTCATGGGGTAAGGTCAACTTAACTCAGAATTAAATGAAACACTGACATTTTGCCACACCAAACAATTCACACTCATTTTTAAAAAAAAAGATATCATGTCTGTAATAACCATAATAGTTTTCTACTTTTATTTACTGATCCAGTGAAATTAAACAGACTTACATAGATATGTGTGGGTTTGGGGGTAATTTTTCCATATATTTTTAGCTTAAAAATTTGGTACTACAAAATGTTATATCCTCCAAAAAGTATTTAATTAATTATTTATTATTTATTTGTTCATTGTTAGTACTTGGGATTGAATCAAGGGTCTCTTGCTTGCTAGGCATGGGTCTGCTACTAAGCTACAGGCCCAGCTCTCCAAAAATATTTTTTTGTGTCATGCTTATGCTGCTTTAAATAGTATGAAGTGAGCCACTGATGTGTGTGTACAGATAGACAGATGATAGATGATAGATAGATGATAGATGATCGATGATACATAGATGATAGGTGATTGATAGATAAATGATAGATAGATGATAGGTGATTGATAGATGATAGATAGATAGATGATAGACATGATAGATAGATGATAAGTAGATGATAGATGGATAGATAGATGATAGATAGCATTATAGATTGATAGATGATAGATAGATAGATAGATAGATAGATTAAGTAGATGGATAGATAGATGATAGATAGCATTATAGATATATAACAATGCTTGGCAGTACTTATCTGTGCTTGATGGAGTGAGATATAAATATCAACGTCAGAGTGCTTGCCTAATATGCATGAAGCCTGAGTTCATTCCTCAGCACTAAAAATAAATAAGTAAATAATAAAATGTGGGTTTTTTTAAGCATTATCATCTTTTGGATTTCAATAACATAGCTTCAATCTTTGGATGAGTCTATTAATATATTTTCTAATAATGTTTTGTGTGTTTGTGTGTATTACTCAAGACCTCACATAAGTAGGAAACTGCTCTACCACTGAGCTACATTCTTAGGCTTCTATTACTAAGAATTATCATATGATTATAATGAAGCATACATATACTTAAGGTCCATATGGAATACTTTCAACATAAGGGACACACAGACTTGTAGCTCTGGTAGATAGACAAATTAATTTGGTATTTTGTGACAAAAAAAAAACATATCATTGAATTCCAAATAAAACGAAACATCAAAATTTAATAATAAATGATACTGATATTAACAAATTTCAATTTCTCCGCAATTTTCTAGGTGGACTTAAATCATATTTATGGTGAAACTCTAGACAGACAACATAAACTGCGTCTTTTCAAGGATGGAAAATTAAAATATCAGGTATGTTTCCTGTTTGTTAAGAATTAGTTATAATTCACCATCTACACCTATATTTAAAAATTTCTAGTGATGGGTATTTTCTTTTTAACTCTTTGTTATGATTGCTATTGCATTTTAGGTTATTGATGGAGAGGTGTATCCTCCCACAGTCAAAGATACTCAGGTGGAGATGATGTACCCACCTCATACCCCTGAGCACCTGCGCTTTGCCGTGGGGCAGGAGGTCTTTGGTCTGGTGCCTGGTTTGATGATGTATGCCACCATCTGGCTTCGGGAGCATAACAGAGTGTGTGATGTGCTCAGACAAGAGCATCCTGAGTGGGATGATGAGCGGCTATTCCAGACAAGCAGACTCATCCTGATAGGTGAGCATAAGAAAATAAATAAGACCCTCTTCCCCACAAAAGAAGACAAATCTTGTTTGTTACTTTTGTTATGTCTTAGTCATCTTGACAATCCTGTGAATGAAATTTATGCATTACTATTCATCCAGTCCAGGAACCTGACTGCTAACACGCCTACATTTTGTTTTAATAATAAGGAAAAAATAGATAGAAATAAAGGAATAGCAAGTCAACTAAAGTGCATCAAGTTTGTGATCAGAAAAATGTAAGGTTTTCTTATTGTTTTGTACCAATAGGAGAGACAATCAAGATTGTGATTGAGGACTACGTGCAGCATTTAAGTGGTTATCACTTCAAACTGAAGTTTGACCCAGAGCTGCTTTTCAACCAGCAGTTCCAGTACCAGAACCGCATTGCCGCTGAGTTCAACACACTCTACCACTGGCATCCCCTGCTGCCTGACACCTTTCACATTGAAGACCAGGAGTACAACTTTAAACAGTTTCTCTACAACAACTCTATACTGATAGAACATGGACTTGCCCAGTTCGTTGAATCATTCACCAGGCAAAATGCTGGCCGGGTATGCATTTTCCTGACAACCAAGAAAAGATTGTCAGTAACTAGTAACTTTAGAATTTCTGTCACAGAGATTATTTTTTTCTCTTACTAAAAGAATAACCACTATTTTACTGGTAAAATTTTCCTGAAAAGGGAAGCATGAAATTTTTGGGAAAGTCTATAGTTTTAGACAAACAAACAAATAACAGTGCATATTAAAATAGATATTTCAAAAGCTTTCAGTAGTCTGACAAGTTACAGAAATATATATTTCAGACTTACCAATTGGTTTATTTTTGTAATTTTAAAAGGAAAATTCATTTTAAATTTATGTCTCATTAAAGCTAAGGCACAACATCCCACTGAAATGTATCTTTCCGAGAAATAGAGTTTAAGTCTCTTACCTACTCATGCCTAAAGAATACCTCATTTTACTAATTCACTTTCTCCAGGTTGCTGGTGGTAGGAACGTCCCACTTGCAGTAGAAGCAGTGGCAAAGGCCTCCATTGACCAGAGCAGACAGATGAAGTACCAGCCTCTCAATGAGTACCGCAAACGCTTCTCCCTGAAGCCCTATGCATCTTTTGAAGAACTTACAGGTAAGAAACAGTTCCTGAACTTTCTTAAAAAATCAAGCAGATGTGGTGGTGCATGCCTTTAATCCCAGCACACAAGAAGCAAAGTCAGGTGAATCTTTTTGAGTCTGAAGCCACCCTGGGCTACATAGTGAGACCATGTCTCAAAAACAAACAGACAAAAGTGTTAAAGAGGAGCATAGAAGTTGTGTGAAGGGATGAAGTGTTTTCTTTTTTGTTTTAAGGTAGTAGAAAAGGATTCAATTGAATAAGAATGAGGTGGGCACTCTTGAGTGGGCTAGTGACCAGGGAAAAGGCCTACACTTAAAAGCCCGAACTATTTCCTATTTTGCGAAATTCGACATTGGTTATATCTCTGTCTTCTTTCCCTTCCCAGGAGAGAAGGAAATGGCTGCAGAGTTGGAGGCTCTCTATGGTGACATTGATGCTATGGAGCTGTACCCTGCCCTTCTGGTAGAAAAGCCTCGCCCAGATGCTATCTTTGGGGAGACCATGGTAGAACTTGGAGCACCATTCTCCTTGAAAGGACTTATGGGTAATCCTATCTGTTCTCCTCACTACTGGAAGCCAAGCACTTTTGGGGGAGAAGTAGGTTTTAAGATCATCAACACTGCCTCGATTCAGTCTCTCATCTGCAATAACGTGAAGGGCTGCCCCTTTACTTCATTCAGTGTTCAAGATCCACAGCCAACTAAAACAGCCACCATCAACGCAAGTGCCTCCCACTCCAGACTAGATGACATCAACCCCACAGTGCTAATCAAAAGGCGTTCGACTGAACTGTAGACGTTTATTGGTCATATTTATTTATTTATATGAACAATTTCTTTTAATTTAATTATTTAATATTTATACTAAATGCCTTTTCTACTTAACATCTTTAACAGAAGGCAGTGTTCTTGAAAGATGTCACACTTGTGAAGGTTCCTGTGTCTCTACTTTAAAGATCTACTGCCCACTGCCCTCAAGTTAAAGGGGAAAACAGCTTTCATTCTTTTTCATAAGACAGTGGGAAATATATTTTGACATCTTTTTACTTGAATTTCAGTTCATATTATATCTAAGAATTAAAGAGAAATTTTTGAACACGTAAATGATGTTACACAATGGAAAATGCTACAAGTATCAACACTGTTACAATTTTTATTATTTTTTGGATGTGTCCAAAGCAGCTAATAAGGAATTTTAACGAAATTTTGATATTTAGCTATCATTCAGCAAACAAGGGGTGCAAGTTCAGTTTTAAGTGACTGCTTAAGGCATTTCACTTTTAAAGGCAGTCTTGAAACAAATCATTTGAATTTTTTAATTGAGAGCTTCGAATCACTTGCAATCTCTCCATTTTCTTGTTATTAAACTTGTGCCCACATGAATTAAAAAGCTACCATAAATTTAAATCTTTAAAATTAGGCAGTTAAAATATTGTTTTCTTTTGTCAGCAGTGGTGAAATCTGTTTACTGTGACTGTTACGTCTTAGGTCAATGCCAGTGTATGAAGGGTGGGACCAGTGCAGTCCTATCTTAAAATAAGAATGTTTTCTCTAAGAAATGTATTTATATGACTAGTAATAAGCAAAACCTATAGCAACAAAGGATTCTACAAATAAAATAATGAAGAACAAAGAATAATTCCAAATTAACAATCACATTTGGGTTTACACTTTGAAGGAGACTTTCTGACTTTGTGTCCTACTGACCTGGTACTGAACAGATTTTTGCTGTGAAATTATTGACTTACCAAGCTGCACTTCAGTAATGTATTTTCTTTTATTTTTCTCTTGGAGAGTGTGATTTAGCAGTTCATTTGCAAGTGCAGAAAGTATCAGTGGCCACTAGGGGCCTTTTCACAATGTTTAAACCCATTTCACATCATCATGTCTGAATTTCATAAGCCAGTGTGATATGGATCGAGCCTGGTTACCAGCATGCTGTTCTTTTACTATCTTCTTTCTTGTAGCCACTTTGCTATGAGAAGCTCTGGTGACCAGTTTCCTATGTTGTCTTCAGATTTTAAGATCGGAGCTATTTCCATCTTTAAATTCTATTAATGTCTTCTTACTTGAAGTTTGACACATTCAGGAAAATGTCATCTCAGGACTACTATTTTGCTCCTCTTCGGAGGAATAGACTAATTTTAAGTGAAAGGCAGAAATTTTTATTTATAATTTTATCTATTTATACCCAAGAACTGTAGGGGTTTCCTGACGAGAACGTTACATTCCTGTTGAAGAATGCCTTTTCTTACTTAAAAACAAAACCAGTTACTGGGTAGTTCTGGGCAGTCGTAGTAAATATAAAATAATAATGATGATAATTTTCTACATCTCATTATCAACTGAGGTACTGTATATTACTTAATTTATTGAGGATAATTATTTATGTCTTCCAGATATTATTGTTATAAACTGTGTTTAAGCCTACCATGTTTTTCGTGGTAGAATCAATGTATCTTTTTGTGATTACCTCCCTGAACTAGTATATGAACAATCAAAAGAAATGATTAGATTAATGTTCAAGAATAAATTTTAAGAAAGCTAGTCTGGTGTATTGAGAAGTTTAAGGTTAGAATTTATGTTGTGTCTCACTTGCCTAAATGCACCATAAAGACTGACCTTTTTGACATTTTTGAAGAACCTGTAGATATCATATTAATTCATTTGGATGCAACTTACTGAGAAAATGTGTTCAAAGCACAATAGGCTTTAATATTCTTGAATAAAGAAGTGGTTTATAGATAAAGTTGATATTTGTGCAGAAACTGAAAAATATGATACTAGGAAGAGAAAGGAAAAAATTAATTTTACTAGAAGGAAATTATTCCAAAAGAACATCTTTAAGATTTTATTCTTAAAATATTTAAGTTTGGAAAATAGACAACATGAAAAAAATTACGTAAAACTGTTAACTTCATTGAGGTTGTTTTGTTTTGTTTTAAACAAGCTGACTTGATCCAAACATCAACCTGCTGACTGACCCTGGTAATTCAGGTTGTGTATGTGAATGTTTTGGTGCCTCAGAAATGTGTATTTAAATTAACTTATGTAAAATATAAGTCTTTGGACAAATGTTTGTTTATTTTTGTACTGTTTAAGAAGTGAAAACTTCTGAAAATAAAGTTTGATTGTTTCTATATATCGTTGAATGGCATTGGTTTATCTGAGTCATGATCCTTAAACAGCTGTCTTGTATTTTATTCAAACTTAATTTGGGAGCTGGGATGCAGCTTAGTGGTAGAGTGCTTGCCTAGCATGCGTAAATCGTTGCCCTCTATCCTCAGCACTGAATAAAACAACAAACATATAGGCTGGCCTGGGCCAGAGAGATGGCTCAGCAGTTAAGAGCACTGACTGCTCTTGCAGAGTAGCCGGGTTTGATTCCCAGCACCCACATGGCGGCTGCAAACCATCCTTAACTCCAGTTCCAGGGGAATCCGAAGCCCTCTTCTGACCTCCGCGGCATTGCATGACACAGGTGCACTCAGTGTTGAAATTTATGCTTCGTGCCATAACAGATAGCATCAGGCTTGTTTCCACTGCCTAGTGCAGAAGTGAACAAAACAGACAAGAAGCAAAGATTAAGACAAATGTTACATAGGAAGTACAAAATAAAAAAGCAAGTTTTAAAAAAAGTCCACAAAGGAAGATTAGGGGCTGGCGAGATGGCTCAGTGGGCTGAGGCACTTGCCACCACATCTGACTACCTGATTTTGATTCCCAGGACCCACACAATGGAAGGAGAAAACTGATTCCCTCAAATTGACCTCTAACCTCCGCATACACACTGCAGCACACACACAATAAGTCAGTAAATGTAATTTTTTTGCACACAACAGTTTTTAATCAAATTTAGACCCCCTCCCCATCCATGCTCCCCTATCCCCTCCACCATACTTCATGTATTCCGCCATATATGTTAACTCCAATCCAGTCAAGCATTTGTACCCAGAAATGTAACTTTTTTTTAAAAGGAAGAGATTATACTCAGCTTGGTAAAACACTGGAAACTTGTTCTTGCTTCTTCTGTACCCCTATGTATTAGTCAGCGTTCTCTAAAGAAGCAGAACTGGTAGAATGAATATACACATATATGTATATGGATTTATCAGATTAGCTCACAGGATAGAGTCCAAGTAGTCCAATGGCTGCACCATACTGGAGAGGCTAAGAATCCAGTAGTCGCTCAGTCCATGAGGCTGGATGGCTCAGCAGTCCCAATCTGGTGCTGAAGGTGTCTGACAAATGCCAAGAGATCTGCTGGTCTTCAGTCTACAGCAGCAAGATGAATGCACCAGCGAGAGAAAGCAAGCGGTAAAAAGCAAGCGCTCCCCTCTGCCATGGCCTTTTATAGGGGCTGCCAACAGAAGGTAACACCCACATTTAGGGTGTGTCTTCCAGCTTCAGATCATCCAACCAAGAAGGTCTCTCTCATTTCAGTTAATCCCAGATCCAGTCAAATTGACATCCAGGATTAGGCATCACACCCTACTTAGGCGACCACATATCTAACACCTTCCCTGGTCTTTCTCTTCGTGGCCTTCTCCACTCCAGTAATGTCTTTTCTCATCATATTTCTTGTGGCCATACATATTTGATCTCATCACCATTACTTAACTGCTATGCCACTTTAAGAACTTATTTCCAGCGTGCTCCTTTTCCTACAGACGTTGTCAGCTTGTCTATTTGACCTCAGAGCCTGGCACCTAACTCACCAGATCCACTGAGCCCACCACTGCTCCACCAGGTTCATCACACCATTATTTATACCCTCACCTCCTCACTTCTCCCTGCATCTAGCTTAGATTCCATTGCTCAGTCCCTCTGCCTGCTTAGTCTCCCTCTGTTGTGCTTTCTGTTGTACTTAGTGGGCACAAGTAGCCCAGTTTCAGCCATTCTCCGAATGTGTTTTTTTTATTTTGCTGTTGCTGTTGCTGTTGCTGCTGCTGCTGTTGTTATTATCTATTATTAATTATTATTATATTATTATTTTGGTTTTTCAAAACAAGGTTTCACACTGTAGCCACCAACTCATGGCAAACTTACCTCAGCTTCCCCAGCATAAGCCACTATGCCTGGCTTAATGTGTTCTTTATTTGACTTTGCAGCAGCACTTAACACAAAGGTCTGTCTTTATTAGGGGTTTCTTCCCCCTTGGTCTTTCTCATCTACACAGAATGTTCCCATTCCTCTACTATGTCTAAGTTGGCATGCCATAATCTTTTTGTGCTCTTTCATGTTAATTGCATCCAAACTCATAATTTCAAACAGTAATCACTCCCAGATTTATATTTCCAGGACGAACTAATAGTTGTCAATTGACAAGCCTCCACTCAAATTCATAAATTTAACTGCTTAATTGCATCTCCACCCTCCTAGTACCATATATACCAAGTAGTACCATATATACCAATTATCTGAAGGTAAATCCAGCATCATCTTCTAGTTTTTAAGCAAAAGCTTTTTCTTCACTCCCATACTTGACCCAGCAGAGGTCCTATTGACTACATCCCACAGAACAAATCTGAAATCTGTAGGTTTCCCTCCAACTTCACCAGCATCAACCAAGTCAGAGCACAGTCTCTTAATTGGTATTCCTTTTCTATTCCTCCTCTGACAAATACAGTCTAATTATGGTCGTGAAGAGTAACCATTTTTTAACGTAAATGAAATGGTGTCTCCAGTGTGTCTGAAACCCTCCTACTACATACCAATGGACCAATAAATACTTCTTTTTAAATTTTTTAATTTATTCTTACCTTATGTGTAGGTATGTAGGTTCACCATGTGCATATAATGTCCATGGAGGCCAGGAAAGGGCATCAGATCCCCTGGGACTAGAGTTACAACTGATTGTTAGCCACCATGTGGATGCTGGGGACCTAACCCAGCCTCTGCAACAGCAGCCAGTGCTCTTACTTGCTGAGCCGAACTCCAGCCCCCAATATAAAATTCTTATATTGGCCTATGGGAACCTTAATGATCTACCCATCTCCTTATCTGATCTCACTTACTTTGATTCATTTACCTGTTGTAGTTCATTTTCTGTTGTAACAGAATACCAAAAACAGGGCAATTTGGCTCATGGTTCTGGAAGCTGGGAAGTCCAAAGTTATGGTGCTTCCAGTGGGTTGCTTCTGCCTCATAGTACATCCACTTATGTGGGAAAGAAGGACGAATAGGCTCATGGATGTAGAGAGGACATGGCAATATCAAACTAACTCAGGATGGAATGGTGGCACATTAATGCTTTCATGATGGTTGTGTCCCCATGACACTGTAACTCTTAAGTACCCAGCTACCTCTCAATAATGTTATTTAGCCAATTACATTTCAACATGAGTTTTGTAACACCTCACATCTAAACCGTTGGTGTGCCCTGCTCCTTCTACCTGTCATTCCCTTCTCTTGATGTGCTCATTAGCAATAATCCTCACGATGATACCCCCCATTTAGAATTTTTCATGCAGATTTTCATATGGCTCTGCCTTCTCCTTATAAAATCTCAGCTCAAATGTCTGCTCTTCAGAAAGCCTTCCTCTAACAACCCAAACGAAAGCAACTTCTCAGGATATTTCATATTCTTCCTACTGTCTGTTGCCACCTGATACTATTTTGTTTTTGTGTGTTTACTGTGTTTCCTCTCTAGACTTGTATGCCTGTGAAAGCAAGAAGTTTGCTTTCAGACAACAGAATACATTTACATTAAAAAATACATTATTGGGACCAGAAAGATCGCTCAATGGGTAAGAATGCTTGTTGCTCTTCCAGAGGACCAAGGTTCAGTTCTTAGCACCCACATCAGGTGGCTCACTACTGCTTACAACTCCAGTCCCAGGGAATCTGTCATCCTCTTCTGATCTTCGTGGGCACCTTCATGCATGTACATACACTCACGTCCATACACATGCACATAAAAATAAAAATAAAATAAATCTTAAAGAAAATACATGATTGATGAATAAGAAGAAACTTTATAAAAGAAATAGAATATATCATGATTCTCAAAGAAATAGAACCATTTTGGAAAGCTCATATATCCACTTGGGCAAGATTTATCATTTTCTGCTATACCAAAACAATGTATATCATAATGTATTGGTTTCTGACTGATGTCGTTAACAAAGCACCACAAATGCATTAGTCAATGCATGGAAGTCAGAAGTAAGAAATAGGTCAAATGAGCCAAAATCAAGGTGTCACCAGGGCTGTTTCTTCTAGAAGCTCTAGGGAGATTTGCTGCTCTCCTTGGTCACCATCTTCATTCCTTGGTTCAAAGTCCCTTTCTCTGTCTTCAACTCCCACAGGATGGCAGTGAAATGGCTCAATGAATAAGGGTGCTTGCCATATAGGCTTGGTGACCTGAATTCAATCCCTGGAACCCATGCAAAGGTGATTAAAGAGAACCAACTAAACTTCCACTAGAGTGCCATGGCATGTGCCATCCCCCCCAACACACATCATACGTGCACACTAATAAAAAGAAGCCAACAGAGTATCAGACTCCAAGCCTCCTGCTTCCCTGTCATAAGGAAAATCTCTCCTCAACATCCTTAATTTCTTCTCAGTTACAAATCCCTCTTTGCCATGTAAGAAATATATTTACATGTTGCAGCAATTGAGGTACAGATACCTTTGGGAAGCCCTTATTTTTCTTGCCACACCAAACAACCCAATTGTGTGTGCATTCTTGGTCAATTATCTTAGAAGTGTATCTTTGTCCTTGAAAACTAAAAGCGTACATCCATGAAATAACCTG